TGCCGCGTTTCGCCAATAAATATACAATCAATTCACTTTACAGTATATTCTGTGAAGTGCTTTGGAACGTCGAGAAGACGTGAAAAGTGCTATATCATATGCAAGGATTATTATTTATTATTATTAATGTGGTTTCCTGGTATATATTCAGTACACAGAGATTTGCTAGGATGCAGAATACCTACCTGGAATGTTAGTTTAGTGGATTCACAGTAGCTTTTAACAACAACAACAATTTATATGAAATACAGCACAATTCACATTGGAAGGGTAGTTCAAAGAGCTCAACACAACTGACTGGGAGCCTGAGCTGACTTTGGCTGAAGAAGGGGAAGGGGATTTGGCCAAAAGTGCAGTCAAAAAGATAGATCTTAGGCAGCTTTGGTGGGCGAGAAGGATTAAGACAGAGAGATGATGTTACAAAGGGTGGTGGCAGAAAGGTTGAAAGTTCGGCCATCAATGGTGGGGCAGATCAAGGTCAGGGACATGATGCAGACTGATGTTCAATGAGTGGAGGGAGTCCTGAATTAGATCTCCTGGGTAATGGGGAGGCAGTAGAGCCAAACAAGGACCGTGTGAAGGGATCTCAAAACTTGGTCCAGGACAGGATATGGGATGCAGAGTTTTAGGATGAGCTGGTGAGTCCAACAAGTAGAGCGTTCGAACAGTCAAGCCTGGATGTGATGAAGGTGTGATCGAAGGTCTTGGCAGCCCAGGGAAGAGATAGTGGTGGAAGTGGAGGATGTTACAACGGTCAGAGAAAGCCGAGCAAGTGAGCATCCAGTTGTAAGATTTGAGACAGTTAAAGGTAAAATAAACAGTGACGTTCATCACAGCCTCTGTGAGGTGGCGTGAGCATCCTTGCAGAGCAATGCAGTCAGCTTGTTGGCATTGAGCTGTAGAAAGCTAGAACTCATCCAGGACATGATGTCTGACAGCCTATCATTTCAGCACAGTGGTGGTCCTGGAATCAAGGATAGAGACAGGGAGATAGAGTTGGGTGTCATTCGCATGCCAGTGGAAGTGGACCTATTCTTATGTATGGTGTCACCGGGGGGCGGGGGGGTGGAGGGGGGGTAGCATATAGATGGTGAAAAGGAAAGGATGAAGATAAAGCTCTGAGGAACGATATAAGTGACAATGCTGGGGTGGAGAGGAGAAGCAATTGGAAGAGATAGGTGAATTGGATAACAACAACAATCTGTATTTATATAGTATCCTTCATGCAGGGTAGCATCTTAGAGCACTTATCAGTGATAAGATTGAAATTGTGAAAGGACAGAAATATCGATAGGAAGCACAGAAGAGAGATGATGGAGAAGTCTGGCATGGTGACAGTGTCAAAGGTGGCAGAGAGTTCGAGAAAACAAAGAGCCAAAGGGAGTCTGCCATAGTTACTCTCGCGCTCACACTTTCTCCCTCTCAATCTATGTGTTTATTTTTGTCTCTCATTCTGTGTGTGTGTGTGTGTGTGTTTGTGTGCCTCTCTCATTCTGTAATAAAAATAATAATCCTTGCATTTTGATATAGCGCTTTTCACGTCGAGAGGACGTCCCAAAGCACTTCACAGAACCCACTGTAAAGTGAATTGACTGTTTATTTGTGGGCGAATGTGGCAGCCAATTGCGCACAGCAATGTTCCACAAACAGTCGTAGATTGAAAATGACCAATTTATTATTGTTTTTGGTTTTGGAGGGATTATTATTAGGTGTGTGGAGTAAGGAAACTTGCCCAAGGTTTCGCCCTGCCTGGAATTGAACTCAGGTCTCTCGCTTGCAAAGCGAGTGCTCTAACCACTGAGCTACAGGACTCCACGTGCATGATATGTGTGTCTGCACTCCCTCTCTCTCTTTTGCTCTCCCTCCCGCTCTGCCCACCCACCCTCCAACCCCTGTATTTGTCTCTCTCACCCCTCGCATTCTCTCTTTCATTCTCCATCTTTATGTGTCACTCAATCCCTCTCTATGTGACAATTTTCTTTTTGTGTGTGTGCATTTCTCACATTTTCTCTCTGTCAGCTGTCTCTCCACTTCTCCATGCGTATCTCTCCATTTCCCCATGTCCCTTGGGAGAGCACTTGCTCTCCCCGTCTGTTTCTCTGTCTTCTTTCCCCATCAGTCTTTCTCTGTCCCTCTCACTTCCTTCATCTATCTCTCTTTCCTTCCCCTATTTCCCTCTCTGCCTCACCACTTCCCTCTCTCTTTCAGGCCCCTCATTCCCCTCTATACTTCTCTCTCACACTCTCTTCCTCCCCCCTTTTCCCTCCTCGTCTCCTCTTCCCCATCTCTCTATCTTCTCCTCTCCTCATCTCTCTGTTCATCCTGTGTCTCAGTCTATCCCCCTTTCCACATCACTCTCTCACTCCCCTTTCCCATGGTTCTTAGAGCACTTAGCAATGATGAGAGTGAAGCTCTCATCTCTCTCTTCCCCTCTTCCTTGTATCTCTCTTTCCCTACCTTATCTCATTCTCTTTCTCTCCACCCCCTTCTCCATTCCTCCGCCATATCTCTCTCTAGGTCTCTCCTTCCCCAGCTCCTTCCCATTTCTCGGTCCCTCCCCATCCCTCTCTCTCTCTCTCATCTCTCTCCCTCCCTCACCTCTCTCTCTCTCCCCCTATCCATCTCCATGGGGAAGAGGTCAAATCAGGTGATGAAGCAGACATTATTGTTTCGATAGACTGTACAGTACCAAAACATTCAGGCTAATTAGTCTGTGATAGCATTTAGACTCCACCCACCCTAAATCCCATTCTCCCTATACCTCCCATACTCTGTTCATCCCTTCCTCATGTGTGCATCAAGTTTCCCCTTAATACACATTTCATTTTCTTGTACACGGTAGAATGTTTCAGATTGGATTCAGATAAGTTACCTGGCAGCAGAGAGTTTATATGGCATTCCACATACCCCATATTATTGCATATTATTATTCCATAATAATAGCCTTGCTCCCTCACTTTGCTATCAAAATCCTCCTAAAAATATACCCCTGTGAGCATGTGACCTTTCGACATCCTTAACTCTCCCTATATGCTGATGCACACAAATGTGTATGATAGCTACGAAAACAGACTCATGGGTGCCATATGGAAAGAAGACAAGTCACTAGTCCTTTGTGTTTCTGAGGTGTATCATTATTTTCCATTTTCCACCTAATTCCATTGCTTATTATATACTTATTGCCTCTATCAATGAATCTATTACAATAGCAATGTATTTGGTGCTCCATTGGCACAAGAAAATGAGAGAGGGCCAACAACCAAACCAAGATCACAAACTCAGAATTCACTGTGGCTTTAACAGGGGAAATGAAATAGTCCTGGGGTGATTTGTTTTTAAAATATGAAATTGATTTGTAAGAGGAGAGGAAGATTATAAACCTTATTTACTTTGTTCTACTTTGTTCATCGCAGTAATGGAAATAACTACAGTCAAAATACGACATTAAGATAGACAAAAACAGATTTGTGAGTTCTAGATCTGACAGAGAGAACACGCAACAGAACACTAAGTTTCTCAAAAGAAGTAAAGGACACTTGGCATAAGGATACTTAGGGTGCAAGCTGCAACACGTCAGATGCAGTCAACCGTCAATAACTAATATAAATATGTAATTGTGTTCCTTTTTTTTACAAAGCAATTAAGTATTTTCTACACTCTACAGTACAGATAAGCAGCAAACCGGCTTTATCAGATATTTATGTACTTTCCACTGGTTCTGGGTCCAGAGCACAAAGGCAATAACATTTTGAGACAGGGAAGTAGCATGACATGGAAAATACCCAGGAAACTGGATGTCAAATGGGTTAAGAGTTTCCTAGGTATGAGTGGGATTCATTTTCATATCTGACCGCTCCAAAGCTGGTTGCTACATTTAAACTGCATGTTTGAGTGGCCACTCAGTTACACTCATTTGATGGAGATACCACAAACGTTCACAGCACACTTTGGGCAGAATTTTTCAGCTTATGCAGCATTTGGCAGGTCAAGAAGTTATTGGAGAACAGTGTAAGAAAAAATGTCATCACTAATGAGAATTAATGACTTGCGAAAATAAAGCACACTTCAAACTGGATGATATACCTCACTTGCTAATATAAAATTAGAACATTAATGTATTCCTAAATGCTCAGTAAAAGAGTAGCTGTACATCAGACCTTTTGAACACCCAAACATACAGGTCTCTTCGCTTTGCTGTCCTGGAACAGAATCTCAACACCCTGTTCTCCAGGATCAGATACTGTTAACACAAGAAATCTGAAACTTCACCACTGCCCCATTGCTTTTAGCAGAGCCACAAGATTTAGCAGAGCAACAAGACATGTTACACAATTATAAGCTGTCTGACAGCAACACAGATCGTAAAGGCAACACGCCTTGCCAGTTTGCCTGAATGGGAAAGCCGAACACTTAGGTTTGAACAGTATTAGTTTGTCTTAAATATCTGGTGCACCAAACTTACATTATGAAATACAGAGGCAAAAAGTATTCTGCTGAATCTGCCATCTCTTTCACACAAAGCAATTGTAAAAAAAAATATCTATAGGCATCTCCATCAGATTCAGTAACAGTGAACTGATTTGTCCCGTGCGTAAGTGAGGCTTTTAACACTAAGCATTATTAGGCCTATTTCAGTGCACAGTGAGTGCACCAACTGAGCAGTCAAGTAACCACCAAGTATTTTAGAGGATGGATCCTTAGCTTACAGTTTTGCCATTTAAAAACATTGAAGTTATTTGAGAATATAGAAAGCGGTTCAATAAACAACATTCTCAGTTGGTCCCATAAGTAACAATAAAATGGATTGACTCTAGCCAATGCTCTGTTCTCCAAATGAATTAATCCATCTTGGAAATCTATACCAATGTATCACTATAGCTTCCAAAGTAGACAAAATCAAAAGACGCTCCCAGTTTTAAATTAGTTGAAAGAAAAAAATATATTGGAAAACATCGATAAACTTTAAAAGCTAAAAATGAATATAAGAAATAGATTCTGACCACTTTGTCCTCCTGCAGCAAGAATTCCAGAAAGCAGGAGAGAAAAAAGGAGAGAAAGGGGATAAGGGGAAAAAAAGGGAAAAGGCAATTATATAGTGAAGCATAAAGTACAGTATCAACAAGCTGTATCAGAATAAGAAAGTAAGTTTACAGAGCTATAAAGCACAGAAGAAACAGGAACAATACTGGACATGAAGGTAGCACTTAAACAAACATTTCATGAAAAATATAATGAGCTGTGAAATAAGCTGTCATTTTCCATAAAACATGGTGCGCACATCACATTTTCGTTGTTGTTTTAATATTTTCTGCATATGGCAATCAACTTGCACTCTTGTTCAAACAACATTGTATAAATTGTATCCAAATTACAGTCACAAAATAATGGATGATCTCAATTCAGAACCCAGATTTTACAGAAATGCAGCCATCAATTAGACATTGAAAATGAGCACAAATACTCTATACACAACAAATATTAACTGCAGGGCAGGAGATCCATTCTGTTGAGAGATACAGCAACAGCCTGAAGATTATCTTTGAGAAATGAATTGTGCAGATAATCACTTTTTATCTACTTTAACAAGGTGTCCTTTAAAAGAGGAACATTAATAACAACAACTTGGATTTATATAGCGCCCTCCACGCTGGACGGTGTCTCAGAGCGCTTCACAGTTACGGATCCCGGGGCCGAGCCAGGGGGAGGGGGAGGAAGGTGACCTAAGGCGCGGTCGAAAAGAAAGGTCTTCAGCGGAGAACTGAAAATAGGAAGAGAGGGAGCGAGGCGAAGGGAGTTCCAGAGCCTCAGGGCATAGCACAACCATAACAGAATGGTTTAGAAGTTATAGGCTGTTTATATATGAAACACAGAAAACATATAGCCAGATGCCTTTGAGGAGGGTTTTTCCCCCTTAAAATATATTTTCCCCTTCATCTTTTCTCATCTCCTCTAGGCACACACCATCTCTAAGGAGACAAAGGAAGAACTATGAGAAAAAAACATTCTCATAAGTGAAGGATAGAAAAGCAATAGAAAAGGTGAAGCGTAGTTTCCCTGGGATATTAATAGGGATGAGGGATTTCAGTTATGAAGAGAATTGAGATATTTTGGCTGGTTTCACTAGAGCTAGAGCTGAGAAGGTTAGTTGATAAGCGACCCAATATAGTACTTCAAGAATATTAAGGATTATGATAGGATAAATAGCAATAGTTCCACTGGGTGGCAAGTTAATAACTAGAAAGCACAACTTTAGGATAATCACAAAAGGAATGAAAGGGAAGGTTTGAGAGCAAATCTGCATGCAGAGAACGTGGAATTCTCTGTCACAAACTGTAATTGAGATAGAGTACATGGGTTCTTTAAGAAAGAATTTGATAGTTGTTTCAAAGACAAGGAATATTAAAGTCCATCAGTGGTGAACAGAGAATGGGATTTGATTGGTAGAGTGGGATTTGATAAACTCATGTGGAGAAAAAGACCAGCGCAGACTTGATAGTCTGAATGGTTATTTCTGTAAAGGAATTGTTTTGGATGCCTTGATATGATTGACAAGATAACTTTTGTTTAAACCGATATGTCATTTTCTTCCCCTTCAATCGGTCTTCCTGGACCGCGAACAAGCCTTACACTGAGATAGGATGTGCGTGTCCTGTTTCCAGGCTGCAAAGAATACCACTAGAGCTAGCTACACAGAGACCTAAAGAGGAAAATCATCACTCAGTTACGTCTCCCTCTGGGGAAATGCTTGTTCAACACTGAAGGTGAAGAATTATTCAGCTTTTTACTCAGTGCAAAAAGTGTACGTTAGGTCTTGTAAAACCTAATTGTCAGTCACTAACCAACAGAATCAATACCAGGCATCATAGAAACCAATGGACAAGGAATAAAATAAAGTATTCATTTTTCATATTTCAAAAATATGCAAGGCACCGTAACTGAATGTACTATCTGTCTGCAGAGTTACTGCAGTGCCTTCAGCTCCCCTCTCAACTCTCTACCCCCTCCTCGCTCCCTCCCTTCCCTCACCTCACCCTGACCATTTTCCCCCTGCTCGGGTACTGACCCAACTGTCCAGTGCCTTGGGACGTCCTCCCGACGTGAAAGGCACTCTATAAATGAAATCTTGTTGTTGTTGTTGTACTGAAGGCAAGATGGGCATTTGTACCTGGCACAATCTATGGAAAGCAATTCACAGCCCTATTTTGTGATCATTGTCAGACTCTTACAAAGAACATCCAGACCTTCTTTTGGTGACTCGTCTCTGCTCAAATGGTAAAGCAGAAACTACTGTTGGCTGCTGAAACTGATCTGAGATCCATGGCTTGCTGCCCAATGGGCACTGAGCAGACAAATAGAGAATGACATTGTTTTGCAACTAGATTCCATAGGTCTCTTGGGAAATAGCAGAGATAACATCTTGTTGCTGCCCGAAACACAGTTAGCGGTGTAAACGCACAGTCGGCATTTCCTGCCATTCTCAAATTCTATCAGAAGAAAAAGCTGCTGTGCTATAATTAAATGGGATTCACTCCATACACCACAGGTATCCTTGGTGGAACACACAACAACCAAGTGCCTAAAATGCATCTTAAAGGCACTCTAGAGAAATAACTTTCTGACTTGTAAGCACCAAAAAAGTGTGCAAACTTAAAATCAAGGTTTTATCAGAGAAATGCTTCCAATCAGCCACAAATAATAATTGTTTCAGACAATGTATAGCAGATGCCAGATTTGCTGATTTGGACAGACAAGTCACATTTTTGATTCCAGGCTTCTAAATGTGCAAACTCCCAATGCATCCCTTCTTATTGCATTCATTCTCTTGTTTTTCTGAGCCAGAATTCCTGGATTTGTTTAATTTAGTAATTCACTGACATCAAGAAGCATAAAATAAAGCTACCAATTTGCCTGTAACCATCTTGGCTGCTCCAAAAATCAGGCCAGAGTGCTGTGTAATCATAAGTTGGCTGTGTTAATTGGAAAAAAGATCAGGGAAAGGTGAAAGGCCCAAATTCTAGACTCAGTCGGACTTGAAGTTACGTGTGCATCTGTCTAGTCAGCACCCAACGCCCCATAATCTACGATTGCAAGCAAAAGAGTAGGAAAACGGAAACCAGGATGGCAATGTGAGACAACAGCAAAGCAAAGCAATAAGATATTGTTTCACATTGACGGATGAATTGATTCTGAAATAGGCAAAGAAGCAGTAAACAGCTTCAGTGTGTCTGACAAGCAAGAGGATTTCTCATTGAAATAAATCTAAAAGTGAGAGATAAATAAATGAACCTAAGTAAAGCAGAAAAACAGCAGAGGAAAGAACTAAAATTACACATAGTCTCATCAGCAAAAAACAGGAATGCTGCACATGAGTTATAAGTTGGGTGATTGATATACAAATGGTGTGTCACATGGTGCACAGGCAGCTGAACACTTAGATTTGATTTCTTTCACAAACGTTAGAATTTTTAGACGTTTGGAATTAGAATTAAAAGTTTCTACTAAAGAAAATTGCATATGACCATTAGGTACACCTTTACTTTATCCCCTCTTTAAGTTTCCCTATGCCTCATGCTATTATCCCCCAGCGAGATACTCAAGACCAATCCCATTCTGTAATTGCTTACTAGGGTACATGAGAGGGCACAGATTTAACATGATCGAAAAAGGAAAATGGCCCATCTAAAGTTACCGGGTTATCCAATTTGAATGCAAATGCAATTTGAATGCAAGGAAAGAGCCTAGTGCAAACCATGCATACACTGCAACGAGTGCACATTACAACGGTCGTGAAAACACTTCTCCCAAGTAATTCAATGTGATATTCTCTGTAGTCAGTGACATTTTCCATGTTGCTTATTTGGCTGATGATGCCATGATATCAGTGGAAAGCTAAACCTTACTTAGCTCTATCCCCATTCACTCAACCTTTTGAGACCCAGCAAGCTACATTTTCAAAATGTCCTATTTTTACAGAACATCTGCACAATCAAAATCAGAGAGTTTCTCTTTAATTTAAATATCTTTTCTATAGTGTGATGCCCAAAGCAGCATACCACATGCCAGCTGTGTCCTTGCTCAAGAGATTAATTATTACATCCTTATGTTTGGCTTTAATTTTCAATGGCTTTATATAAAACCCTGAATCCTGTTTGGCCTTTTATTGGTCTTCATGTCCTGTAACCTTACTGTTAGCGCTCCATGTATTTGTATTTCCAGATATCTTTTCCTCCACTCCATTGAGAATTTTATTACTTGAACACTTTCCATTCTATATTAAGTTTCACCAAATACACCACTTCACACTTTTCAATATATTCACAAACATGGTCATCAGCTTGCCTAATCTGTCAATATCGGCTTGTCGCCTCCTGCACTTTTCATCACTATAAACAGGACCTCCTAGTATCATCTACAAATTTGGCTATTGTTCTCTCTAATGCTACACCCAGATCTATAATATACCATAGATGTTTTGTGGCAGCACTCATCTCTGGATCAGAAGATTGTGAGTTTAAAATTCAGGGCTTATGTTCTTGTCCAGGCTGACATGCCAGGGTAATATCTTTTTAATTTTATATTTTTATTTGTAATAGTTTGAGTTGAGTTTTGCACCAGAAAAAAACACTTTCTTCTTTTGCACCTCATTGCCAGCGCTCAACACTCTCATACACGGACAGGCCAAATATAGTGTGAAATGTCCCTCATTCTTAGTATTAAGATTGGGTCAAAAATATACCCCAAACTATAACAGTGTGTCATTTCCATACCCTGCACTAGCCTAATGGACTCTGAGAACAAGCTTATCAAATCAGTAAGGCCAGTACTGCGCTGTGGATATATGTACATAAGGAAACAGATTGAGACTGCTCAAGTTCATAGAATACCCTTACAACCCGAAGACACCAGAAACCTTCAGTCTGTTTTGGAATCAAACCCCAGTACCAGAAACTGAAGTTGTGTGCTAATCCAATCTGTCACTTTGGATACAGGTTTCCTGCTGCATTGGCAATGGGTTCAATGAGGCATGAAAAAAATATTTGTTGTTACACAGATGTGCTACATTTAAATAGATTTCATAACACCTAAAGAAAACACATAAGAAAAGTAAGTCAAAGATGGGAAAAGGACATACAGACCCCCAAAGCTCTTTTGAAAAGGAGGTCTAATGTGTGCGTTTCATTAATGTGGAATCCGAATTGTACCCATGGGGAGTCCTGTAGCTCAGTGGTTAGAGCACTCGCTTTGCAAGCGAGAGACCTGAGTTCAATTCCAGGCAGGGAGAAACCTTGGGCAAGTTTCCTTACTCCACACACCTAATAATAATCCCTCCAAAACCAAAAACAATAATAAATTGGTCATTTTCAATCTACGACTGTTTGTGGGACATTGCTGTGCGCAATTGGCTGCCGCGTTCGCCCACAAATATACAGTCAATTCACTTTACAGTGTGTTCTGTGAAGTGCTTTGGGACGTCCTCCCGACGTGAAAAGCGCTATATCAAATGCAAGGATTATTATTATTATTATGGGGACTCATTCTGGTAACTGGGAGCAGGTCATGATGACCCATTGCAACTTCACTATGATGTCATTTACTTCTTGACAGGAGTTCGTGGGATTTCTTACAAAGGACTCCCATTACAAAATACCACAATATAATTGATTTATAAAAGTCTCTTTTGCTTCAACTGCTTCACTCGGAAGACGATTCCACTCAGAGTGAAAAAAGTCATTCCTTCCTAATATCCATTTTCAAATTACATACATATAATTACATAGAATGTACAACACAGATATTTCACATGCCCTATCCATTAAAAATGAAGAAGGCATCTCAACTAGCTGACATTCAAATGCTGTGAGATGGTAATGTGCAGCTGGGCTAAGCATTTTCACATAATCGAGCAAAATAGTTATTTTCGGCATCATTACGCTGATTTGGAAATATTCCTGCTTTAAATGAACAGATAATGAGACAGGTGGCAGAAACCATTAAAAGTCAAAATGCCTGTTTTGTCATTCAAATTACTAAGAGAAAAAAATGAAAGTGGTACACATGGTTGATTAATGCCAACGTTTAAGATTTATAAAACAGGGGAGATCTTTTAGCATTGCATAGGTAAATTGCTCTAAAGAACTAAAATGAATTTTAGCCATAAATGGGAACTTTTCAAGCTGGATAGAGGTTGAAGAGAGAAATAAGGATCAGTATCAAAACCTTTACTATTTTTTAAATATGTATATAAATGCTTTAGATGATGATATCCTAAGCAAAATCTCCAAGTTGGCAAATGACATGAAAATAGAAAGCAAAGCAAATAATGAGAATCATTGCAAATCGATTCTGAAGGATTTTAGTAGCTAGACCAGCTACCTGTAGGTACGGTTTAATGTGGTTCAGTGCAAAATAATTGGCATAAATCCAAAAGTAAATTGGTGTTAAATGAGCAACTGCACAGTTTACTGATCCAGGAAGAGCTTTAGGGGTCATTGTGGATAAATCTGCAAAACTATCAACCCATTGGTTGGCTGCAGCTAAAAAAAAAGGGCATTAAAGATACTGAGCTGTATCAGTCGAGGGATAGAGTACAAATCAAAATATGTTATGGTGTAGCTGAGTAAGACGTTCATCAGAACCCATATGGTGTACAATGGGCGCAATCTAGATACCTAATCAAAAGGATATTATTGCCCTTGAGGAGGTTCAGGAGTTAGCAACTAAGATAACAGAATATTCCAGATAACAGGAATATGTGATTCAGAGAGTTTAAGGAAACCGTACTTGTTCTCAATGAAAAGCAGGAGGCTGAGGTGAACCAACTGAAGATTTCAAGATTGTGCAAATTATTTACAATGTTAATGCAGCTGCAAAAAAACTAATTAACAATCAGAGCACAAATAGTTTTGCACAAATAGACCTGCAGAAGAAGGTACTAATAAACACAACTGAAATATCATTCATGAGGAATGCGGATTTACAAGATAGCTTGATGCACTTCTAAAGAGAAAAGTGTTGAAGGATATGGTTCTAAGATTGAAATATTGGGTTTAAGATCAATTAAATAGAGGTGTGCTTGTTGGGATTAATTACCTATTTTCAGTTCCAAAACTTCTTTTAATGTTACAGAATTGATAACTTGCAAAAAAATATTGTGTTTGAAAGAAGGAAAACATGGACACTATCATCTGTGACATATTAATGTGAGAAAGTAGCTTTGCGGTTAATTAGACAAAGATCCTTCAAATAGCAAAGTGACAGAGATGTTTGTGTATCCTCAATACTGATTTGGCCCTTTCCCATACTTTCCTCATTATATACTTGCATCAGAGAAGGAACTGAGCAGAGGCCAAGGGCAACTAGTAAGATGATCTGCGCTTATACAAGGCTTTTCCCATTAGAAGAGTACATTGTCAAATCTGCTATTATTAGCAGCAAGACAAATGTTACTACAAAGTACATTTTCTACACTGGGAAGTTAAAAAAGTAACAGAGTCACCATGGACCATTGACATTTACAGCACAGAAGAAAGCCAGTCTGTGGTGGCTCTTTGAAAGAGCAATCCTTTCAGTCCCATTTACTTGACTTTTCTCCAATACGCCTGCAAATTATTATTTTCTGGATACCTATCTATTTGCCTATCGAAAGGACCATTTTGCACACAACTCTTAGCAGTCATCTAAAAGTGATATTGGCAGAGACCTGGAATCAAGTTGATTATTCCCCTGGCCAGTGATTGTGCATTGCATTAAAGAATCTATGAAGGGAATATGTTTAAAAATAGAAATTATTAGTATGTTCAAACAACTGTAATGAAATTGGCAGAGAAGGAAATATGAGATACCAGTCTTTTAGAAATAGCTCCACTATCTGTTTCTTGTGCTAGTCTGCTCCCTTCATCTTAAATATTGCTTTAGATTAAAGACAAACTCCCTAATGACTCAGTAGGTTTATTTAATGAGTACCTGCATAATGCAAATCAGAAGATCACAGGTTCAACTGCCAATATGTGTTGAGTTTCTTGATCTTTGTTGTGCGACAGTAAGGGTGTTGCCAATGGTCTAAGCTCTTCGGGTTATGCTGATGAATATCATCCCAGGTTCTTGATCACTATCCAGTGATCTCTGAAGGAAGTGCAACAATATGGATGCAGGGTGGGCCAAGACTTAGTTGTAATGTCCCCAAATCAGATAGCCTTCTTTCAACCAAATATATGGAAATCTTAGCTTGGTTTGGATACTCTTAAGCATGGTGATAGGTTTCCGCATGTGTCAGACATCCGGCTGACCCCCACAAAAAAATCAAACAGGTTAATTTATCTCACTGCTGTTTCTCAAACATTGTTGTCGTAAATTAGCAGCTAAGCCTACATCACAATAACTATGCTTAAAAATAACTTGTTGCATCAAGCAGTTCAAAATGCTTGAACAACAAGATGCTATAACAAACGCAAGGAGGATATATTTATTAAAACAGAAGAAAGCACTCAGATAAGGCCAAGTCTGAAAGAACAACTTGTCAAAATAAAATCAGCACACATGTTAAATGGTCAATCGACATCTAATGAAAACTACCATATTAATCTACAACTGAGAGAAAACACCTACCTTATTCGATCGCAGTGACACCCGCCCTCCACATCGAGCACAGAATTTTGTTTGGCAATATGAACAGATGTGGCCACAGCCGTCAGCAAACTTGGTTTTGTGGCAGATTCCACAGGTGGGTGCGTCACTCTTCTGTTCTTGTTGTTGCTGTGCTTCATCACCCATCTTTTTTACCTGTTCCTTATACATTTCAAACTGCTGGTGCAATTTCCTGCAGATGTCAAAGGGCAAAAGAAATCATTTCATGGTACGGAAATGAAATTGACGTTCATCTATATTTACAATTCGCTTATCTTTTGAGTTTTTTAAGACGTTAGCTGCGTTCATACTGTCCAACTTTACACCTCTTCACTTTGACAGCTGAATTTTAACAGAGTGCCGGGCTGCATGAGATCTCCCAGTCTAGCATCAGCAAGTAGACAAGACAAATCCCTTAGCTTCTTTTGTAGGACTAGCAGAATTTGTCAGGGTCAAGCCCATTCAATATTCATCATGTATGTATTACAGTCACAGCCATACAGACATTTTATGGTACTGTAAGTCAAAATGAGACGAGTGACTGAGGTAATTTGGAAGGAGAAGAAACAAGCATCCTTATCCAGTAATCAAACTGTAATTCCATTTGCAAAATTTCATACAGTGATTTTTTTTATAGAACCTGCAGCATCTTAACTAAAGTCTGGGTAGGTTTTCTTTTAAAAAGGAAATATTCAGAAGATTTGCTTAAACTATTTTACATTAAATGACAGCACTAGAGAATAGATACGACAGACATGAACATCTCTCCTAAAAACAGGATGCACCATCACCCCAATTTAACCATTCAACAAATAAAAAAAATCCAACTTTGCCCATGAAGCAAGTCATTCTACTTCCCCAGTTACTTTACTCTGAACAATTTGCAGAAGGCTGGTAGGGTACCTAAGACTTCCAAAAGCTTGTTGACAAAGTACCACATGATAGGTTCTTTCACAGCTTAACACCACTGGGTATCAAGGGGAAGACATATCCATTGTTTTATTAATGGCTAAAAAGGAGACAGTTGTCATTGGAGGAACCAGGTCAAAATGGGGAAAATCTATTAAATGGACACCTCCTGTTCTTTGGAGACATAAATGACTTGAATTTACAGAATGACTGCAAGGTAGTTACGTTTGCAAATGACATGAAGAGGGAACTGCAGAATAAAAGGGAGCTGCTTTTCTTCTCTTGGGACTGAGTTACTTCGCCCACTCTCCCAGCCCACACCCCCACCTCACCAGACTTGTTGGCCTTCAGTGACCAGGGATATGGACTTTGACTCATGTTTTGAATCCCTTGAGCAGAGGATAGCTTACTTGTTATGTTCTGCTCACAGGATTCAAATTGCAATGCCAGAATTGGCATTTTTAGTACTGAAACAAACAGTGCCAAAAAATGCTGGTGGATAATAATAATAATAGTAATAATCCTTGCATTTAATATAGCGCCTTATCAAGTCTTTGAGATGTCTCAAAGCACTTCACAGAATATACTGCAAAGTGAATTGACTGTATATTTTGTGCGCGAAACGCGGCAGCCAATTGCGCACAGCAGTGTCCCACAAACAGTTGTGGATTGAGTGACCAAATGATTATTATTATTTTCTTTAGATGACCAGTAAATATTCTTAGCTGGGAATTCCAGTTTGCCGGACTGGATCTCGCCAATGGAATGACTGACTGGCCAGGGTGTCAGTTTACTCTGTTAGCGTAGCATTTCAGAATGTCCAGATTTTAGCAAATCATTGAAGTCGGTCTTAACACTGAAGTTGATTTTCTGTAGTTTTGTATTTAAGAATCAGTTTAGGTGCTCTTTGTTCTGAAATGCTAGATTCATTAATAGAGTAAATCTAGTCTTAGGTGGAATTTCTACTCCATGGTTCCTTAAGTGGCACATTGTTCCAGCTGGAGAGTTCTTCAGATACGTTTAGCTGCTGGGGACAGTCTGCACCACAAAATCACAACCTGGTCTTCCACAACTCAAATTTATTCTCATTATTATCTTATACTGTAGAACATATGACATGCACGTGGCAGAAAGATGCTATTGCGCACTTCAAGATATTGCTGTGCACATAGTGCTAGAAGAATTTCTCGCAAGCCATTTATCCAGATAATAACACCTCTTTGATGTATATCCAAACAGACCAGGCTCATACAACAACAACAACTTGCATTTGTATATTATCCTTCACGCGGGGTAGTGTCTTGGAGGGCTTGACAGTGGCAGAGTCTGACACCGAGCCAAGGGGGAGAGGGAGGGGGAGCTGATGATCAAAAAGCTAGGTCTTTAGGCGGGATTTGAAAGTGGGAGGGAGAGGGCAAGGCGGAAAGATCGAGGGAGAGTTCCAGAGTTTCAGGGCACAGTGGCTGAAGGCACAGCCACCGACGGTGCAGCGGAGGGGAGGAGGGACAAACAGGAGGCCGGAGACAGCCGAGTGGAACCAGCAGGTGGTGGAGTGGGGGGTAAGCAAATCGGATAGATGTGGAGGTCGAGGGTATGAAGGGATCTTGAAATCGATCTGTTCAGTAACTGGAAGCCAATGGAGCCTGGCAAGGACTGGTGTGATGGAGGTATGGAGTTTTGTGCAGGTGAGAATCCAATTGGCAGAGTTTGGGATTTTGGATTCACTTAATCTTGTGAATGGTGGAGCTGGGGAGATCAGTGAGGAGGGGATTGGAATAGTCTAGCCGGGAAGTGACGAAAGCGTGGACGAAGGTTTCCGCTGGTTTGGTTGTGAGGTATGGACGGAGGTGGGCAATGTGGCAAAGGTGGAAAAAAGTGGCCCAGGAGAATGAGGAGGTAGAGGGAGCCCTGATCACAGAGAGAGAGAGGACGTCATTTGTTACTCTGACAAGCGCTGTCTCTGTGCTGTGGGCAGGGCAAACATCGGACTGGAGGGACTCAAGTAGAAAGTGGAAGGCGAGGTGTGAGCGAAGTTAATTTGAAATGACATGTTCCAGGGCTTTGGTCAGGAAGGGTAGGTTTGAGATGTGTCTGAAGTTTGTGAAGTTGGAGGGATCGAGGGTAGGTTTTTTAAGGAGAGGAATGATGACAGCGGTTTTGAGCGGGAGTGGGACAGAGTCTGAGGAGAAGGACTGATTGATTGTGTCAGGGACTATGTACCCCAAAGACTGGATATGTATTCCAACCTCTTTGTAAAAGAAATGTGGAGAGCAAAGAACTTGTACCCCCAACTCTTTGCACAAGTGTAGAGATCAATGAATGCGTTCTCCACTTCATACATCCCCAAAGCTCTACGTACAAATTATCCCAGCTCTTTCTGCAAATACAGAAAGCAGCTGAGCCACTCAATCGAAAGATTAGAATGAAAGCTTCAAAGCAGATTTTGAAACATGACAAAACAGAAAAGAGCATCAGAAAGGCAGCTCCAGATGTCCCAATTACCGTAGAAAGGTGTGCGCGTTTCAGAATCATGTGGAAAAATTAGTAACATTGAGTAAATTAGAGAAAAAGCTATTGAATATAAAAGTCATAAGTCTTATTGTTCTTCAACATCCACATGCTTTGAGTTATGAATTGCAGATGCCACTGGAGTTGAAGTTACATTGTTTTTGGAGATACATACTGCACAATTCAGTGCACTACCAGTGGTACTCTCTGAGAGGACCGGGATATTCCTAAAGATCATAAATGGACCACAGAAATAATTGATCTGCATGGCCTGGAACTTCATTTAAAAGTTGTACAAAGTTTGTGTTCATCTTCACTTGGCAAGTATTATCTTGTGGAATTCCAATTAATTTAGCATTCTGAAAGAAAATAAACCAATTCCCAATTCAGCAAAGAGCAGAGGGATTTGTGCTTAACCAAGAGCAAGAGGAAAAATGGTCTTCGAAGGTACTCAAACATAACTTAATGATGGGCACACTGGATGGGCTGATAGGCTTATCTCATTCCTACATTATTATGTTCTTTTAGTTCTTCTGAGTTAGGCTTAGCAACTTTATTTAATTTTCTACTTCAGTATACAAATATATATTCAGTCCACAACTGTAAGCTTGCGTAGAATTTTTTCCCATTAGCTGTGGAGATAAGACCAAGTGGAAAGCAGCCATGGGCTGAAGAAGCACTGATTAGAACCTGGAGCCTTGCACTCAGTGACATAGGACTCTAGCCGTGAATTCGTTTACAAAGGTTTAAAGTGTGCATCATGAAGGGCTGTCATAAAGAAACTCAAGGAATAATATTCAACAGGGTGCCTTGGATCCGATGGGATAAATCTGAAGGAAATGAGTGAGGAAATAAGTGTTAATGTATTTGGAAGCTTCATTAATGCAGCCTCAGGTTACTGGAGAGGAAAGTCAATTTTATTCCAATCTTCAAAACCAAAGTCAGTCGAGACCTTATGCTAACATCAGCAGTGGAAAATGTGCTGAAGAATATGTTACAAGATGCCATTAATATTCATCTAAAATGTATAAGAAGCTACAAATTGTAGTTAAGTGAATGATTTTAGAAGCATTAGCCTGTGCTTCAAAAATCTACTAAACTTGTTAAAGAAGAAATTAAATTAGCCAACAGAGGCCATCCAGTCACAAGATCATAAAGTATTGAGGAAATCCTTCAGCTCATTGGTTCGGAATACCCATTCTACAATCGTGCCAGCATCAAACACTTTCTTAACTGAGTTTATTGTCTTGGTCTATAACACTTTTGATAATAACACATTCACTTTTTGATTACTCTTTGTGTAAAGAAATACTTCCTGGTTTCTGGTCTAAAATTGCGCTTTACAAACTTGAATCAATGTCTCCTAGTTCTGCTGACCCGGATTTACTTTCCGTTTCCTGTTAAGTATCTTTATCTATCTCTGACAGGTCTCCTTTGAGGCTTCTCTTTTCAACTCGGCGCTGCAGGTGGTGATGCTGGGGAAGAGCCTAGTAGCAAAGGAGCTATTGAAACACGGAGCCCAGCCCCATGTCCAGGGAGAGTGGGGCTTCACCCTAACTTATGATGTGGCTCCAGTGTCTTTCTGGACACCTTGAAGGTCTTGACGGAGGACGGAGCCAACGTGAACCTACAGGATGCCAGTGGCTCCCTGCCCATCCACCTAGCAACCATCGAGAGTCATCTGGTACAGTACACGGCACCCATCTTCAACATCTAGCACAAGAACTCCAAGGGCCCAACATGCTTAGAGATGGTGATGCCATCGACAAGACCGGG